TGTCCTTGGTCCTCTTTGTATATTATTTCATACGCACGCTTCTTAAGCATGGCAATAAATTGTCGTGCGAAATTTTCATATGCGTCGCCGTCAACCCGAGGGCCCGGGCCACGCCCCCTCCTGACCCCATCCTCCCACAGGATGTCCGCACATCACGCGCCCTGCGGTTTCACTGGGACAACGTGGCATTCTTGAAGTTGAAGGCGCTCCTTGGGTTGCGTGCTTGTTTGTTTCGCTTTTTGTAATTTTCAATTTAAGCTACACAACGTGTTGCTCGCCACATTGCCACATGGCTACACAGCGAAATAAATCCGTTTGTTTATTTATTTGGCATCCTAGCACTACAAGCTTAACTTGTTATTCCATGTGCTAGTCAAAAAAGTGACATATTTTGAATAAATATAAATAATATTGAAGAAAATTAAGATAAAATCAATTAATATTAAAATTGAATATTTATTTATTGAATATTTATTTATTTTTGAATATTTATTTATTTCACAAAATCTTTATTAAGTATGTATTTATATAATTAAAAGTTTTAACAAAATATTTAAATTTTATATGAAGAAGAAATTATTGAAAACAGGCCGTGTTTTGACCAGTTAAACCGATTTTACCCCTTAATCTGCCGTTTTGTATGTGTGTCTTTAATATCGATCCAAATTTAGGTGCGCTGTTAATGGTTCTTAAGTCGTTGGGAAGTTTGTTTCAACTCCAAACAGAGTGTTGTATATAATACTATTAGTTCATGTGGATGATAAAAGCATAAGATTCTTTGATTTTCTATAGTATTAATGTTTATAAAAGTGCACCTATGCTTTAAATTAAATTCATGATAAAAGATCAATTAGAACTAACTCATATGAAAGGAATATCTTTAAAAATGTTCGAAGAAAAGTTACAGAAGATTCATTTATTTATTTTTGTATGTATATCATGTAGAATAAAGAGCCAACTTCCAAGTGTACTGCCCCCCATTTTTACCACACTGCCACCGCAGCCATTTAGTGACAAATTAAGTGCCGTCGTATGTGTGTTAATTTCGCAACTCTTAGCAAATGACGCATACGACATGTGTGCCCCGGGCCGAGCTTAGTTGCAATTTATTAAACGATTCGGGTACAAATTGATTATTTTGTTCTCGGACTTTATGATCCCTATTACCGCTCTTTCAAGTGTCGATTTACGAGCCCGGCAATCGCATTCGCTGCCTTTTATGTGCCTTTATGCGGCAGAGAGTGAATTTATCGCCTCCACCAAGATGACCTTTAACGCACACAACGTACATAGTTGCCTTGCCGTTCGCTTGCTCTGCTCTTTATGATTGCCACAAATTGCATTATGACTTAATTTTTATGCCGCCACGTTCATAACATTTACGTAGTGTTAAAAATACTCACATTTTGCCATTCGGCGGGCTACATAAAATATTTAATTATCCGCAATGATCTGACGGTGTGGACTGCAGAAGCAACTTGTTGCTGGTCACATTGCCTGTCACCTGCAAAATTCGGGAAATTGCTTACCTGCCAGCCTTGCATTTGCCATTGACACTTGTCTTGGCCATTTGCCTGGCGGGTCCTGGTCAGGGGTCAGGGGTCAGGGGCCAGGGATCCAGGGTGTCCAGGCGGTCCAGGGGGTCCAAGGTTCCAGAGGGCCAGCTCAATGTGAACGGTGTGCTAAAACGGTGGCCGCAGATGCTGCAACTGCTACTGCAGTTGCTGCTCGTATTGGACCATTAACGAAATCCAACCAGCCACAAATTGGTCGTCACCTGGCATCTGCAGGTGGGCTGAGGTTTTCCCTGACCAGGCGTGAAACGATAAACGTCGAAATAAGGGACGTGCAGGCGAGTGGTCTGCATTTAACTGCATTTTCGGAGATATTTTGGTATATTTTAAAGCACAATTCGTATTGAATAGCCCGTGATTTTGTCACAATTTAACATTATACTCTATATTTTAAGATGCTTTTGCCAGTGTCTACCTCGTTTAGGCCTTGTCGCCCCACTTAACTTCGTATTGCATCCGCATACTGCATACTGACGACTGCTCTGCGCAATTACGCAAATTAGCAAAGTGGAATTTAATATGCTTGGGCGGGCGAATTGGAGGGCAAGAAGGGAGGTCTCCAGGCGCAAATTATCATTCCCAGCTACTAGCACATGCAATTGCCATTAAATTGATGTGATTGAATAAGCTGTACAAAGGGTTCTTGTGCGAGTGAAACACAGATTGAAAGGTAGCCTCAGACGGAGTTTATTAAATATGTAACGATGCATTCAGCAAAGATGAAATAAGCACACTGATAAAAAAATGGAATAGTAAAAATAAATATCGGACTATTGAATTTAAAATTGTATATTAAATATGAAAATTAAATATGAAATTATAATATTAAATACAATGCATATTAAATTACATGATTTAATATTAAAAATTTAAATAAATGTGGAAATTGTGGTTATGGCTTATACTTTAAATAGTCAAATGAAAAATTAAACAAATTTTTAATATTATCATATTTTAAGTAACCATAAGCCACACTGGATAAAATCAAAGGGAAAATACTTAAGTGTAGTTCATAATATTTGGATTTACTCCGTTTTTTTATTACCAGTGCAGAAAAGAATAATGAATGTAATGGGCTTATAAAAATGCTAAGTTGACTGAGTTATGAACATAAACTGCACCTACGCAATCCCTGAATTGTTTAATATGTAGTGTTTTTTTGACACCTTAGTTGAGCTTTCGAATAGCATTAAGGTTCCATTTAGTATTTACTTACTTTTTGTGTTTGGCTTGTATTGGACACTTTTTTGTTTGCCATTTATTTGATTTATGTGTGTAACGGCTGCAGTCGAGGGTGTTTTTTTCCTTTTTCCTCCATTGTTATGTGGCACAAATATTTCTATCTCTAACCTTATCAGGCTGACCGTATTTTATGCTTATTCCAGTAGTGCTTGGTGTGCCAAACAGGTCTGCCTGTTTATGCTTGCCAAGCAAATTGAAAACAAATTGTACCGAATAAATTTAAGCGTTTAGCTATTCTGCGCATAATTGCAATACATCGATTTTTTATATTCGCTGAAAGCAAAGCCAGCTGAAAATTGGGGACTGTGTGGATTATAAAATCCAATAATTATCGACACAAAATCTGTTGCTGGGTAATTATAAAAAATAAACCTTCAACAAGGACATGTTTTTTGTCGCGACCCATCCTCATTTTGAAGTTTTTGTGCAAGAGTCCCTTTTATGTTCTCAAATTACAAACGCATAGCGTAAGGCTTCAAGGCGAATGCCTTAAAAGGGCAACTTTGACGGTATAAGAAAAGAAAGTTTAACACTTGCTCATGCTTCTGTTTTTCTGTTTTTTCAAGGTTGGCTTAGGAACACGAAAAAAACTGACCGTCATTTGTTTTCTTGACACTTCTGAAGGCTTCTCAAACAACAGGCGGCTTAGGTTTTTTTTAAGGGTTTCGGAGCAGTCCAAACATTTTCTTCTTATATTCTTTGCTTTTTTGCATAATGTCGTTGCCATTTTCCTGGGAAACCGAAGGGGTTTGTCACTAAATAAGTCGCAAGTTAATATTAATAACATCTCATTATCGCCTCGTTCTAAATTTCAGCGCTTAGATGAAATATGTTCGCATCGTCAATTTATCATAATGAAGACAAACGATGCCAAGGGATGACCTTCAAAAAATTATGATTCAAGTTTTTCAGTTGTGGCAATGGTAATTGATGAGCTAAACATCTTTAGATTGGCTACGAAGATATTAGCGGTTATTAACTGGAAAAGTTTCTAGCATAAGTATCTTACAAAAAAAAAAAAGCTTAAATAAGTCAGTTACCAATTTTTGTATATTTCACCTAGTATTTCACAACCTTTTTTTTCCAAATATTTTTGAAATTGCTCTGTTAGTGGGAATTTTCCAATTGACTGAGATGAAAGGCAATAAGGGTCACAACGCAAAGACACAGTGAATTCAAAGACGAGACCCAAAGTCTCTTATTCTCGGTTCAGTGGCCAGTCGAGATGATTGACTTCATGCAAATGTTCTCGTTAAGCCCCATGTCTGGTTAGAAAATTTGCATTTAGCTTGTTTGACCGGTCTGGTTACTACTGAAACCAAGTGGAAATCGTTACCTCCTCGAACATTTCAATTTAATTAATTAGAGTAAAAACAAAGTCAAATAGTCTGTCCTTGTTCGAATATATCTTGTGTTCTTCCTGGGCATCTGAAGCTATTAATGCTTAACCAAAGGAAGTAACAACAAATATGCAATTAGGTTCTTATATCAACATTGTTTGTTTCCTTCGCATGTTGTGGTCCATAGGTAATTAAAGGTAGTTAAAGTGTGACTTTTGCATTGTTTTGGCTTCGATTACATTTATCTTTAGCTGTTCGGTAAAATCGTTATTAGGTTTATTAAAATGGAAAATAACAAAAGCGTCTTGCTTTAGATTTTATAGCACTAAATTTCTTAAATATATTTTGAGTTTTTTAATTGCACAGGAAAATCCATAAATTTTCAACTTGCAACTTTATCGATCCGGCGAGTCTATATCTTTCGCAGCGCGTTGACACCGCCAGACGCTCGGCGTTATTGAATTTATGCACTTAACGATAGAGTCAACAGAGCGTATCTGCTGCCGTGGTGGAAACTGTGGCCGCGGCTGCAGTGGCAACTGTGCGTATACGCAATTAAATTTGCAGTGTCTTCTGGTCCTTGTAGTCCTTGATTGTCTGCGCGAGAGTGCGTAAAAAATGACCGGAAATGAGATTGTTGCGGCTTTAATTTCATTCAAGTGATTTAAGATGGGCAGCAAAATGAATTGAGATATTTTGGCTGTCATCGAATGGCAATGCAATTCCTTGTTAGAATACTAGGTTTAATGTAAGGATCTCTAGCGAAGTGACATTGGTTTTTCTAATGAAAGTTTAATTTTAGATTATTTTTAGCCCATTAGAAATAGTAATAGGTAACACTTACTTCGAAGCATTTGCAGAGTTGGTAACATCACGCTGGTGTAAATTAAACGAAAATTTGTAATGCAAAAGCATAGAAGTACAAAAACTGGATAAATCGCTTCACATAGAGGCTGCAGCTGCCGATTCTTCATTGGCCACGGCGATGGCCTTTTCGATGGTGCCCTTCAGCTTCCTGATGTCCGCATCTAGGTACACAAGGCGCTCATACTTGTTCGCCAGCTTGTTGATAACTCCGCCGAGGTGGCTCCGTAGAATTTCCAGCAGCTCTTCCTCATTGGGACCTGTGTACTGCTGACCCCTCAGGTTGCACTGAAACTCGTCCTCGGCCAGTGCCTCGGCCAGATTATCCTCGGTTTCATCCTGCTTCTTGCGCAATCGGCCCAATTCGCGGTCCAGTTCAGATCGCTTGGCACTCATGGCCTCAAAAGCGGCTAACTTCTGATTCAACTCCGGATTGAGCACCACACCGGGATTAATTAAGCGGGCAAATCCCTTGGCCGCTCTGGACATTACTGGGCAGTGTATATATACAAATTTAAAGGGTTTGTGAATGTTTAGATAGAGCAGTTCCTTGATTTTATGTGGCAGGTTATTGTTTACTCATATACGAACAGTTTCTAGTTACCTACTTGGGCAGCAGACCAAATTGATCATTACTGTGGTTGCTCATATGCTTTGAGAGTTTCGTTGTTTTACTTTTTTTAGATGAAATTTTAATAAAAAACAATAAAGCAAATTAAGCTCATTGCAATGTAGTGACAATAATCAGTAGGTCCGTGGTCAACTCTAAAATTTACAGTCTAAATACAGTCAAACTTCTACTGCTCAAACTTTCTCCATAAGGACACTAGTTTATTGTTCATAAATGAACAAAAACGGTTTACATTAATTATAAAATTCGAAGTAGGAATAAGCTGAAAAATTAAAGCAAAAAAACATTGCCTTTTTTCAACGACAATCCTTTTAAATTTGTATTTACCTTTTATCAAATCAAAGCATTTTTTTAGATTCTTAAATAATAAAATGTAAAGTTTTAATTTATTTATTTTGGGTCTCCTACGAATAAAAGTTATTTTTCTGCGATCATCAAATATTTGTTCTTAGTAAGTATTTTTTTGTGAACGAAGAAATTTGTGTAGTTTTTCTTGTGAGCTTGGCATTTTTATGCAAATAAAATTATGCAATCAAAAAGAGCTGGCTGGGAAAAATGGCTGTGCATTTAAATAACAAACAAAAAACCGCTGTCCCCTTTACGGTTGACGTGTATATGTAGAGTGGAGAATATTAGGGAATAAATACAACTCAGGGCGCGTGTCCTAATTAATAAGACCACCTCGACGCCATCATTGCCATTTGAGCCCAGTAGATTTTCATCCTCTTTTTTTGGTTACACGAATTTCCCAGCGGCATTTCGCGAAATGCAAAAACAACAAGCGAAAACACAGCAAGAACACAATGTTCGGAGTGTAGCACAAAATGATGAAAAGAAACAAAGGAGAATAGAGATATCTCATTATGGACAAAAGCGGGCCAAACGAGTCCAAAATAAAATGAAAAAATTATGCAGCCGAAAAAAAAACCCAGCTGGCCCTGTTTTTCTGCCCCATCCCGGCACATCAGCATCAGCATTCGAGTCCGTATTCGTATCCGCATCCGCATCCGTATCCGCCCCTTGACCAGTCTGCGAATTCTGGAATTTGTTTACAGCACTCAGAGTGGAAACACGCGTGCCAAAAATAATCAAAATATAATAAGCAGACTCTTCAAGGCGCTGGCAAATGAGGCATGTAATAATTTTTGCCTCGCCCGAGAACGGTGTCCCTTTTTTTTGGTCAAAAGATTTATGCTGGACAGTACTGTAGTCTGATTATAGGGTAGTGAAAGGTATGATGGCTTACATTGACGAAACAAAATCAACAATTTTATTAAAGATTAGCCAACCAAAGGTAAAAATTGTGTTATATCCTTATGGTATTTTATCTTACCTCAATATTGTTACCCTAATTTTTGTTTGATTGTCTTTAGGGATTTTTTTTATGTACTTTCTGGTTAGCTTAGAAAGCTTTCAGCAAAGGCTTATAAATAATTTACAATTTATTTAATACTTAGTGTTGCATTAATTCCATTAAATATATGTATAAGTATTTGCTTGAATTCACAATTCATCAACTTTGTTATAATATTTTACGTTTCCTTATCCTTTTTCTTTCTTAAAATAATTTGTGTTATTTCAAATATCTGATGGTAATACGGAGTTGTAATTACAAAATACAAAAGGCAGTTTGAAAATGTGATTTTAAATTTATTCCCCCTGTTTTAGAATTTTAAGCTACTGCACAGTGTTCAATAGTCGAAATGCATTATTCAAAGGCCCGTCTCGTCAAATTAAGCAATTTCCAACTCAGCTATGGAAGTTACATTTTTACGAGTAGTTCACAAACAATTCTATCCACTCGGATTTTTTCATTTATTCGTTTGCTCCAGCCTTATGCAGCTTGATAGGCTTTGCACACTTTTAGGTTATCATCAGTCAGTAAGTAAGCTGGATTACCGAAGGATTTCATGGGTTTTTCCTCAACATTTCTCTATGACTTGACTGGGCTCTTAGTGGAATACAATGGGAGAGCAAGAGCCAAAGGCATCAGGCCTACAGTTATGCAAATCGCTGGCGGGCAAAATTTTCTCGACTAACTTCTCAGGCCACAAGGTGGTCAGCTGAAAATTGCAAACGGAAGGATAGGCGGGTCGTCCTTGGAATGGAAAAAGGAGCACATAGTTTGCCTTAATTTCCGCTTTATTCGGCAAATATATGCGTTGCCAGGCGAGTGCTTTTTAATAAGTTAGTTGGCCGACATTCGCGCTGCTACGTTTTTACCTTGGCACCCTGTGTGCGCTGGCATAATTAAAAATGTACACACGTGCGCTGACACGTGGTCTTCGTGTTAGCGGGGCAACGGGTGGGTGGGCGGTTGTCCTGTGGTAAAGGATGATGAGTCCGGACTCCAGACTCCGGACAGGTAATATTTACTCGCCGCCCTGCTGCCCAGCTGCCTCGCTGAAAGCTAAAATATAGAAACCTTCGCATCATCATTGTTTCTCGTGGCGTATACTTAATGCTGAATAGCGCACGCCAGCAAATGAAGTCGTCGGTTAAGCTAAAGAGCTGATGCGGAAAGTTACAAGCAACGGATAGGAATACAAATGGTTTCTCTAAGCATAAGAAAAACTAATTGAAAACTTTGTAGAAACTCTTTAACTTTTAAAAAAAATTTAACACATTTATTGTTTATTTCATTTATTTATTATGAATATAGAGTAATATACCCATTTTTAAGGGAATTGTACTAGCTCCCCTTATTATTAAATTTATATTTTGATTTGCTACCTAATTTATTAGGTAATCTGTACCAAATCCATTTTTACCCCCCATCTTGCTTATAAATTAGCTATGCCATGACAATTGCTATCCAAACATTATAGCAAGCACATGTTAATGTCCAATTCAACGAGGAAAATGCGCTAGAAAATTAAGTGCAAACAAAAATCAAACACAAATATGTGGGCCGTGCTCCGGAATCCGCAATGTGGAATTCGTACTCTTTAATTCACAACCCGTTCGTGACCCTCGTCAGAGTGAATGAGAAAAAGCAAACGATTTTTGTATAAAACATTCGATATTTTTTCATTGAAACCCAATTGCTTTTATTGATCGCTTTCGCATCGGTGAAATATTTAGTATTTTTTTCTGGAATTCACGATAACTTTTTCTGTTCTTAATTGGAAAACTATGAGAAGCCTTGGCGTCCACAGCTGAGGTTTTTGGGATTTTGTGAATTTCTGGTTTAAAATCAATTAAAATCGTCATTTAATAAGTGCTTGCACGCACAGCCGGAGCAGAAACAAATGCCATTAATTAATTTTAATTTAAGCTAGACGCGTGACAGGCCGATGAGTTTCAGGCGGCTGATTTGCCAATTGAAAGTTCATTTCAGCTGTCATTTAGCGGTTAAGTGTGAAAACTTGATTAACAGCGGTTAATTGACAGTTTGGAAACTGGTAGGCAATTGTGATTTTCATGATGTTAATTATTCAATAATTTTACTTTACACTTTTTGTTCCAGTAATAAACATTTAATTAGCTTTAAAGAAAACATAAAGTCAAATGGTCTAAACCATTTAAAAAAGCAAGTATTTACATTATTTTTATTTAAATGTAAGATTTTTGTAAGCAATAAATACCTAAAAATATTTAGTTCAGTCTTAGGGATTTCATTTGCCTTTAAGGCCAGAAACCCGCATTTTCCAAATACCTATGACCCTTTACACAAAACCACCTTTGAATATGCTCACATATGGTTTCTCCACGGGTCTCGGAGGTTGGCAATTAAATATTTTTGGCGCGGCTTAATTAAATGCATGGCTTATGGTGGCTTAAGAGGACCATAGAAGTGTATTTGGCAGCTGTCAACTAGGCCACTAAAAGCGCGCATAGACTTTTCAATATTGGTGACGAGCGAGGCGGGAAACCTTGAAAATGTTGAGTGCGGATTTTGCCGCTAGCCGTGTCCGTGCCACGCCCCTATCCCGCCCATGCATAATCCATGGGTATGTGGACGCAGTGGGCGTGGCCGGACAGCACTTACCACCGCCGCTGATTGCGCGTGACAAATTTCGCAGTCAGCATTTTGGCATTTTAACGCACTGGCACAGAAAACTAAGTAAAGTTGGGAAATGCTCGCACATCTCCATAAACGTGGCGCTTAGGCACATCAATTTGGCTCCGCACTGGCTATCCGACCAGAAACCCCTTTCCATATGGCCACCATTTCCCGGCAGAGACAACTCAATTAGCGCTCGCACAAGCTTTTAGCCCAAACTCAGTTATTATTGCCTGCGGCGTGGAATTGAAATGTTTGCCGCGACTGCAACGAAATGCATTCGAATTAGCGTGCACATTACGCATCGCGAAGTATGCTCAAATATTAATTATGGAAAATATACAATTCACTGCTTTTCGCCATTGTTTGTTTTACATTGTGGCTAGTAAAATACGGCCAGGAATAACTGATCAAGCTGATAGATGGCCGGTATAACTATAATGCCAGTCGAGTGGCCTCAAAAAGCATATATATGTGGGCGAACTTATATTGTCTTTGCGGGCTTAGAATTTGATGGTAACATATTTATAGTTCGGGCTAATACAAATTTGCCTTTCAACCAAATTTGTACCTTCTCTTGTTTTGAATTTGGAGAGAGAGAGGTTTTTAAAACTTTTTGTATGAATAAAATTACTGTGCAAAGTAAACTATAATGCGAAATTGTGGTTTATTTTCTGTTGGAAAATTATATGACAGGTTAGACTTATTTAAATTTAAGTTAATATTTGTCAAATACATAAGAAGATTAAAAAAAAATTAATAAGAGTTTGTATTTTAAATATTGTTCAGTTACCTTTTTTAAGCACACCTGTACGCAATGATAGTAAATGCCTTTGGGGTGAAAACTTTGATGCATTTTATCAAACCTCCAATATCAAGTGAACATATTGGTATGTGTGCTTTTTGGAATATCGTATTAATCGATTTTCATACCATTATTCGCGTCGTT